GCACATGGTCACAGGAGACAGTACTGTGGGGTGAGCAAAAACAGTACCAGAGGGAGACTCAAATGCCCAGGGATCTGGCTGCCAACCACTTGAGCTAGGGCAAGTTGTTAATCATTTCCTTTTTATCTGCAAATGAAGATAATGACCACAGCCTCCCATCCTTGGGGTGAAGGGAGAAAATGGATGTGACTGCGTTATTAACTGTGTGGATCTGTACAAATGAAAGGGATCAATATTATTATTATAGCGTGTGGTGCTTTGTCCCCCTACCTCGTCAATTATATCGGTCATTGATGGCTGGAATGAAAAAATCTTCCCAAATGCCTCTGAGATTTCTTTAAAGTTAATGGTGCTAGGGAAAGAAAGAATATCAAGTCATCCCCCAGGACCCTATCTGCTTGTATTAAAAAGCACACAACCAAAGATTTTAATAATCAATGCACTGAACAGCCCTGATAATTTATGCTAATAGTCACGTTATGATGTGGAACGAGAAACAGCTTAATCCTGCTCCCTGCAGTCTCCGCCTCAGATCTCCTCCCTCGGCATGAAAGGGTTTTGAGCACAAACCCCCTTCTTTGTCCCTCTCACGAAGTGGCATTTGCTGCCTCTCCTGGTTACCTGGTAACACATATTAGCACAGACCTAGGTTTCTAAGTGGAGCTGGAATTTCAACCAAGGTGTATTTTCTAAGATTCAGGGTCTCAGGAGCTCACTGAAGCTGCCAGGGCTCAATGCCCTGCTGTCTTGCCGTCTGTAGGATCCCAACCCTTTCCCAATGCTAACAAATAGGGCACACACACTGAACAGTCCAGCCTTTAAAGTAATGAGAGCAATCATCATCATCATAATACTAAGGCCATACCACCTTACCAGTGAGAAGCTCAACCAATAATTCAGAATGTATTGAAGACCCAAGTATGAATAATTCTTACTGTTGGAAATTGTTTTTGCATCCTTCTTCTAATTTTGTTTTTGTATTTTTAGTACAGACAGGGTTTCACTGTGTTAGCCACGATGGTCTCGATCTCCTACCTTGTAATCCACCCGCCTTGGCCTCCCAAAGTGCTGGGATTACAGGCGTGTGCCACCGTGCCTGGCCTGCCTGGCTATTTTCAGAGGGTCGCCGCACAGCTAGTCTGCTAGCAACCTGATCAGTAAGGTGCTGTGCACCCGCCACCCTTGAATCTTGAGGGTTTCTCAATCTGGGTCCACCTTCCTGTTTTTCCCAAGGTTCGTCACTTGTCCCTCTATTTAGCACTGGGCTATAGCTCCTGAGAGAAGCCTTGAAGGATGGGGAGAGCACCCCAAAGCTGGCAAGGGGGAGGCACAGCATGAACTGAGGCTCAGAAGTGGGAACCCTTTGGTGGGTGTGCAAGTGGGCCCATGGGGCCGAGGCCTGGTAGGATGGTTGGGAAAGGAGAGGACACCCCAGAGTAGTTTGGGGTAGGCCATTGCAAGCCTTGGGTGCCAGGCCGAAGGCGGAAGTTTCATTCTGCACTTTGGGAGACTGAGGTGGGAGGATTGCTTGAGGCCAGGAGTTCAAGGATAGCCTGGGCAACACAACAAGATCCTGTCTCTACAAAAAATTCTAAAAATTAGCTGGGCAAGATGGCATGTGCCTATAGTCCCAGCTACTTGGAAGGCTGAGGCAGGAGGGTTCCTTGAGCCCAGGATCACAGTGAGCTGTGATCAAGCCATTGTACTCCGCCTGGGAGACACAGTGAGACCCTATCTCAAAAAAAAAAAAAAAAAAAAAAAAAAAAAGATGGATGCAAAAGCAATTTCCAACAGTAAGAATTATTCATATGCGAGTCTTCCATACATGTGTGTGGATCAAAGGATCACTCTCATTATGTGGCAGTTTGGGGCGCTTCAGGGCATAGGAGGAAAGGGCAGAATTTAAGCCTGAAAACTGCTTCCCCAGGCTCCTGAGAGGCACGTATAAGGACCCTCATACACTGTCAGCAACACAATAAATACTTCCCGAGGCCTCATTCCATGAAATCTAGGTGCTTGGGTTCCAAAGGAGTCAGGAGGGGTGATTTTCTTGCCAATATTGAAGCAGAACAGCCCTGCTCTGACTCACAGTCTGTTTCCCTTCAACCGGGGTCCCCAGGGGCATTGTTAAAAAATGCTCCCGCTGTGTCTTCTGAATAAAAGATGGCTTTAGGGCAGCACAGAATGAGCTGCTGCCTGGGCTAGGAAACATCCCCTGTCCAAACCTTCATGCTTTATCTGGACACAAGGGCAGAGGCCACACAAGCACTTCAGGACAGACAGTGACAGGCAAACAGTGCCCGGTTCTGTGGTGGATGACACAAAGGCTGATGCAGAAGAAGGGCTGAACCCCGGGGAGGCCTGACGCCTGTCGCTAATGAGATCATGAAAAGCAGTTCTGAGTTGCTTCCGTGTGGCCCCACGAACATCTTTATTCCCTGGGTCTGTGCCTGGGGTGGGCGTCAGAGCCCGTAGATCAGAGTGGAGGGGCTGTCACATTTACTTGTCATTTGGTAATTTTCAGTGAATTAGGAGTATGGAGTTTCCATCTGCCATCTGGCCTCACTCTGGTAACCATGGTAACCACCATCTGCCTGACTTAATACTATCAAGTCCTATGCCGAAAGAGCACTGGACAGGGTGTTGGGACCAGGGAGCTGGTCATCCTTTACTGGTCACCCTGGACAAGGGCTCTGACCTTACTGGGTCTCAGTCTCTTTCTCTGTGTAACAGCAGATTTGGTCTGAATGTCTTTAAGGTGCCTTTCTCTTAGGAAGAGAATGCCACTCTGGGGAGAAATTATCTAAGACCATCAGCACCACTTATAGTCTAGGGACCTGGTCAGCATTTCTTATGTCTCCTGCATATGGAGTTAAAGTGTTACCTGTCTGGAGACAAAGAGAATTGCCTGTGAATTAACTGCTGAGGAAAGCAGATTATAAAGACGAGTGATAGGAACTAGCAAAAGGAAAGAGACAGGACTGCTTAAGTGCCACATGGCGGAGACAAACTGTTCCAAGTGAGAGGGACCTCAACAATGACTCCACTAGGGCTGATATGGCCAGAGAGGAGAAGGGGCCTGTCCAGAGCCACTCAGGGAGCCAGCGGCAGCACAGATGCACCCCCAGCCAGCTCTGTCCTCCATGGGGAGCTTCAGCTAGGAACAGTCAATGGTGACTTTCCTGTGCTCAACTGGCCACACACTGGTTTTACATTTCCCAGGACAGGAGGCTTCCTGCCCCATCTCCAACAACCCATTGTGTCTCCTGGACTTGAGTACATCTACCTGAACTACTTGAGGGGAAAGACTACTAGATCCTTCTTAAGGCTTGGGAAGAACCCCACCCCAAGCTTCTTTCTTGAAGCTAAGTCATTACATTGTCTTAGGCCCTAAAGTCTGGACTTGGTCTCTGGGCTCAGGCCAGAATTATTTCCTAGAAGCCTGAACCCCAGGCTGAAACCTAGGCTCCTTGGGACTCACTGGTCGCCGTCTCACTCACCCTAAACTCTTCACTGCCCACTCCAGACAGAGTACACAGGGGCACTTCTCCAGTACCTAATGGGCAGGATACGCTCATGCTTAGGAAGCCGGTAAAGCAGTACTAATGTTTTGGTTTATTTTTGTTTGGTTTTCAAAAGGTACATAAAGAGAGTGGGCAACTATAGCACACAGAGATTATTTTACTTTGATGTTAATGAAGCTTAAGTTTCTAAGTCCCTAACATTTCATAATAAGTTTCGAAGTCCCTAGCAGTTCTATTCCTTTACTTAAGACAGGATTCTCCAAATTATATATGTTTTAGACCCTCGAAACCTGGGTCTGCCCCTAATAGCACCACAAGATCTTTTCAGATCTTACGTCTCCAGAGGTCTTACTTTTCCTGGGTGGAGCGCCCTCAGCATCCCAGCTCAGCCCCATCCCACACCTGGGGCCCTGGTGCTCTGGTGCTATGGCCTGGTGACTCCTGATTCCCCAGTCTGGAACTCATCCTCCTCGCGCATCTTCAACTTCCCTTCCTCCCCATTCAAACAATCCACCTAGCGCTGGATACCTGGGAACTCTGATCCCCCTCCTCAACTCCCAGTCTCCTGCCCGGCAAACATACCATGCCTACAAATAAGTGACTGCATCAGCAGGTACTTACGTACCAAAAGGGTTAGCAGGCTCACCAAAAATTCGACTAGCACGGTGAGTGGCGTCTCCAAGGATTCTCGTCCCAGTCTCTCTGAGCACGAGGAGAGATACGAAATACTGCTTTCTAAAGGGAAACTGAGTCCCAGGCAGAGCCGTCCACCACTGGGCAGGGGGATCCTTCGCTCCACACCCCAGAGGGTTGGAATCCCCTCTTCTCTACCCACCCGATCCCCGACCCCGACTCACCGAACTCGCAAGGGCCGTCGCGTGCCTTGTGCAGGTGACCGGGGTGCGCGCGGGGCTTGTGCCGGGCGCGCAGGCGCAGCGCGCAGACACTGGGGTAGGAGCGACCGTCAGAGCCGCAGACGGTGCCGCGCTGCGCGCACACGCAGAGCCCAGTGCCCTCGGGCGCCGCCCCCGCGGCCCGGCTCGCGCACACCAGGCCGGGGCCACAGCGCGCGCCGGCTCGGCCCCCGCAGCTCGCGCCCTCGGCTCCCAGGCAGCGAGAGCAGCAGCCGCACTCATCGCGCGCCGAGATCCCGGGCGCCGGGCAGGGCGCGGGCGCCGGGCAGCGCTCCGGCCGGCACAGACCACACTCGGGGCGCCGGCCACCCGCGTCGCGGATCCCGAGGCTTGGGGACAGCGGCGGCAGCAGAAGCAGCAGCTGCAAGAGCAGCGACAAGCGCGGCATGGCTTGCTCCGGGACAGCGGCGGCGCCTCTGCTTCGTGCTCCGCTCGGCGCCCGCCAAGCAGCCACCGCTCCCGCCCCGCGGCCGCTGATTGGCCGGGCCTGCACCGCGGGGCGCCCGCAAACCGCTGCTCCAGCCCGGGACCCGCGCGGTGCCCGCGGCCCGGGGCTCCGAGCTGGAGGGGCGCCCCGAGAGCAGCTCCCTGACCTCCGACTGGACTCTTGAGGAAACCGAGACCCAGTCGGGGGAGAACTTGCCCGAGGTCGCTGTGGTAGAGTCAGGATTGGATAACGGTACAGTCTCCGGATCCACGGCTGGTTCCAGATAGTATGCCCGTAAATCCTCCCAGAAGGATGCGCTGTTTTATTTAATTTTATTTTGCATTCGGTAGTTTAAGAAGTTTTATTTTATAAAGAGAATATATGTTTTAAAATGTATATTTTACATATACATCTAAGGATGAAAAGAGGGGTTTCCCTACCACCTTGTATCACCATCCTCCAACTCGACTCCCAGAGGCCACTCTTGCTATTGGGTTTTTGTGTATCTTTGCAGAAATTTTCTCTATGCCTATAAAAGCATATGTGCCTATAAAAGCCCTTTCCTTTAAAACACACACACGCTGTTTCTCTCCCACACACACGGAGTAGCGTGCCATATACATTAGTCTGCACTTGGTTTTTCCACTTAACAGTATTTCCCAGTTTCCCCACCTCTTGTCATCTCTGAAACTGAGTTTCTTGTACAATCAACGGGAGCATAGTTCATTGGTTCTGTGAGTGTGTTTCTTAATGCTACGTAAAGTCATGGTGCATCTCCGTCCACAGTGACTTTGTTATGATGAGATATGGTGATATGTTTTGGAGTTCATATAGAGTGGCATTTCCACAGGGTTTAGTTGCAGTTACTTAACCAGTTGTTTTCCATCCTTCGGTTAATACGAATAATGCTTTGATGAAGTCTCTGTGCACAAGGGTCAGTGTACCTGTGGATTAGTGGGGAATGCATGTTGGAAAGACGCAGGTTCTTGTAGTCAGTTACTCATACCGCCGTTGTGCCTTCTCTGGGCCAGGCTCTGTGCACACCATCCTGCCTGAGTCCCGGCAGGACACCCAGATGAGAAACCTAAGAGAGTCTTGGCTGCTGGGATTTGATGTGTTGCCAGGTAATGGCATTGAATGGAGGGAGGGACTCGCTGACCAGGTTTTATGGGAGACTTTTCCTGCCTTTACTGGCCACCTCTCATTTGTCTTGTGCTCTATTGTTTTTTCTTTGCTGAACTCCTAAAGATGGAGAACGCCTCTTGCAGCCTGGGAAGACCAGCTACAGCATTCTTGGGTGGAGTTCATTTTGTTTTCAAGCCTAGTTCCTTCCCAGTTTGCAGTCTTCTTATTCCTAAAAAGGAACCTCTTCTGAGGCCACTTTATGTGGTGGTCAGAGGAGGGCCATCTGCCTGGTCGACGCTGGGCCTTACCTTACAGTCAGCCACACAGAGCAGGGGTGGTCAGGCACCATGAAGGGGTGGTGGTAAGGAATAAATATAACAATGTTGCTAATGCACTCAGCGCAGCTCTCAGAATGTATTAACGATGACTTTCTTTTTTTTTTTTTTTTTTTTGAGGCGGAGTCTCGCTCCGTCGCCCAGGCTGGAGTGCAGTGGCGCGATCTCGGCTCACTGCAAGCTCCGCCTCCCGGGTTCCCGCCATTCTCCTGCCTCAGCCTCCCGAGTAGCTGGGACTACAGGCGCCGCCACCACGCCCGGCTAATTTTTTTGTATTTTTAGTGGAGACGGGGTTTCATTGTGATCTGCCCGTCTCGGCCTCCCAAAGTGCTGGGATTACAGGCTTGAGCCACCGCGCCCGGCCAACGATGACTTTCAACCTGAAGGCTGCTGTCTTTACCAGGAGTGGCCTTTTAAAGTGCTCTCACCCCTTGACCTCTCTGTGCTCTTCTAGGAATCTCTCCTAATAAAAAGATCACTATGTGTGAAGATTTCATCCTGGAGTTGGTCACTACAGCAAAACAAAAAACAAAAAACAAAAAACAAAAAAAAACAAAACGGAAACGACCTTAATGCCCACTGAGAGGCAATCATTAAATAAATTATGGTGCGTCTAACAATAGAGGATTATGTAGGCATTAAAAATTAGAAAGAAGATATGGGTTAATAGAAATGCAAACATGTTTATAATACATTGTTTAGTAAAATAGCAAATTAAAAAGTACACATCTAATGTAATGGCATACTTGTAAATATGTGAAAGTGTAAACATGCAAGAATTTAAGATTATTTAATGATGTGAAGGGAACACTTTTTTTTTTTTTTAAAGAAATGATACCTCATTCTGCTCCCCAGGTTGGAGTGGAATGTCATGATCATAGCTCACTGCAGCCTCGAACTCCTGAGCCTCAAACCATTCTCCCTCGCTCAGCTTCCTGAGTGGCTAGACTACAGATGAGCACTACCATGCCTGGCTAATTTAAACAATTTTTTTTTTTTTTCAGAGGTGGGGTCTCACTATGAGAAGGAAACACTTAACAAAGCTGGATTTGCAAACAAAAGAGATGAGCGAACTCCATGCTGCTTTTCAGGACAACTTTGCTGGTAAGTTCAAACTTTCTAATGGTTCATAGTTGTTCAAAGAGAGATTAGGCTGCCCCAGAAATAGTGAGGTCCTTGTCAAAGAAGGAGTTTAAGAATGAGTCTTGGCAAGGAGCATCGAGGGGGTCAGAATTAGGGGTCAGGGGAGTTGATGTTTGATTACCTCGAACTGAGCCACCATTCCCATAGTACAGTGCCTGACCCTGAGACCTGGACTGGACAAAACATGGTCATGATTGAGAAATAAATGTGTACAAAAATGATTTGCCTCCTTTTTATGCAGACATTAAAGGAGCGGTAAGTGAACGGTGTCATTATAATGAAGTTAATGTGTGCTTAATGCAGGTTAGGATACACAATCTCACAGAGGCACATTTACATATGATCTACATTCCTTTTAAATGGTAGGGAGAGTATTAGGTATGCATAATAACTCTTTGGGAATTAAATCAGAAGACTCATTTTCCAACACTGAGCCTGTGGCATCAAAGCTCCTGTATCTGGGTGGAGAAAACATTCCCAAGCTTTGAAGGTGATCAGTCTTGCCTATTTCCTTTTAAAATTGCCTGCAAGCCCATAGCCCAGCAGAGGCTTTTGTGCTCTTTCATCTCTCTGGTTCCCAGGGTACCAGTTAACACTGTGGGCCACACCTGTGGGCCCCCTAAGATGATGGGAGAAAGTAGGGACAAATTCTCCCAGTCGGGAAGGGGGTTGAGGTGCCTCTGTTGTCTGCCAGGTGGAGAAATCCCATGCACCCAGGTAAGTAATTAGGCAACAAGAATGGGTGTGATTTTCTTCCTCTTCAGCTTCCAGCCTGAACACAAACACAACACAGGGAAGACTAGTCAATCCCCCATTCAGAGCAGATGTATGCCCACCCAGCAGCTGCTGAAGTGGGTATGAATGTCCCATTCATTTATTCCTCCCTTGAACGTAGAGATAAATGGCAGATGTTCTCTGTCCTTGGAGAGCTTCCAGCACAGAGGAAGAGGACAGGAGCTCAGTTGAGCAAAGGCCACTCCATAAATAGGCCATGGATTTGAACCTCAAGCTTTAACAGTTAGGGCAATCGTAGATAGTCTTTCTCCAAGCTAAGGGAAGGTGAAAGCCCTTTCTCCAGACCTCTGGTGGGCCATTACAGAGCAGAAGGCAAGGTGGGTGTCTAGAGGGAAGTTCCATAAATGACAGATGGGATTTTTAGGGAGACAGATTTCACTTCAATATTGCGTGCAAGGGGGTGTAGCAAGATGTAGAACTCTGCAAAGATGGGAATTCAGATACTGAGCAGACAAAAAAGAATGATAGAGGATTTGCTGTCCTGCTTTAAACCACTATATAACTTTGACAAATTAAAGAAAACAGCTATGGACAGGTACTGGACAGTGTTCTAACACAGGGCTGTGATCCTTGAGAGTGTCAGGGGGCACACAATGTGAGCCCCACATCTACCCAAACTTTCTTCCTGGGGACACTTTCCAGGCCACTGTGCAGGGAGGTGGAGGCCAAGCAGTCTCACTGGACAGAAGAGGTAGACATCAGAATTCAAGACTTAGGCAGAGATTTGGGGATCTAGGACAGAAAATGAGGAGCCACAGAGAGGGAGTCCCACAAGTCTTAGACCTTTGGCTGACCCTGTACTGCACAAGTACAGGGCAAGACTTGAGGGCAGTTGCTGGGAGGTGAGAGCTGAGCAGAGATTTGGGGCTCACACCGTCCTGATGAGATTTTAGAGTTCAGGCCCAACCAGAATGAACCGCCCCAGGCCCCCTGGGGTTCTTTCTCCAAGCTCAGTGACACTAGCATCAGCCAAGTGGTTGCAGAGGTCTGAGTTTGAGCTCCAAGGACCCCTCCTGTATGCATCTAAGTTTTAGTCATTCCAACCATTTCCATTGTTCTCCTAGCCCTAATGGTGGTAGCTGCTTCACAGTTGCTACCTCCAAGTTGCCTAATTAATAATAATTCTTCTTCTTCCTTCTTCCTTCTTTCTTCTTTTTTTTTTTTTTTTTTTTTTTGAGACAGGGTCTGGCTCTGTCATCCAGGCTGGAATGCAGCAGCATGATCTTCGCTTATTGCAACTTCTGCCTCCTGTGCTCAAACTATCCTCCTGCCTCAGCCTCCTCAGTAGCTGGGACTACAGGCATGTGCCACTATGCCTGGCTAATTTTTGGGTTTTTTTGTAGAGACAAGATTTTGCCATGTTGTCGAGCCTGGTCTTGAACTCCTGAACTCAAGTGATCTGCCCACCTCAGCCTCCCAAAGTGCTCAGATTACAGGCATGAGCCACTGTGCCCAGCCAATAATTCTTTTTTTTTAAATTATTATTTTTTGAGACAGAGTCTTGCTCTGTCACCCGGGCTGGAGTACAGTGGTGCTATCTTGGCTCACTGCAACCTCTGCCTCCTGGATTCAAGCAATTCTCCTGCCTCAGCCTCTCGAGTAGCTGGGACTATAGGTGTGTGCCATCATGCCCTGCTGATTTTTGTATTTTTAGTAGAGACAGAGTTTTGCCATGTTGGCTAGGCTGGTCTCGAACTCCTGACCTCAGGTGATCCACCACCCTCGACCTCCCAAAGTGCTGGGATTACAGGCATGGGCCGCCATGCCTGGCCCAATAATTCTTTATATTACATACCATTTGTAGGCTTGGCACAGTGGCTCACGCCTGTAATCCCTGCACCTTGGGAGGCCAAGCTGGAAGGATTGTGCCAGGAGTTCAACAGAGTGGGCAACACAGTGAGACCTCTTTTCTACTAGCAAAAACTTAATAAAGTTTGCTGGGCATGGTGGTACATGCCTCCAGCTACTCAGGAGGCTGAGGTGGGTGGATCACTTGAGCCTTGGAGTTCAAGACTGCACTGAGCTGTGATCAGGCCACTGTACTCCAGCCTGGGAAACAGAGCTGTTGCTTGCCTGAAAAAGATAAAAAAGGGAAATGAATTCTATTTGTCATCTGACTAGGCCTGAGTGATCCAGCTAATAGAACCAGGAGTGGTCCCAGGAAATAACTGTCAAAGATGGGTCATAATCAGAGAACTAGAAAGCTTAACTACAAATATGCTTCAAAAATAATACAAATTATTTATTTAAATGATAAATGAGAATACGTTTCTTGCAACTACAGGGTCAATATTGCTGAAAATGACACAAAAAATGTAATTGTGTGTGTTGCATGATTATAAGTTGAATTCACAGGCTTGCCAGTCTCTTATGTGAAAGTTAGGGAATGAGAACCTGAGACTTGGAATGGGGAAATCGGGGTGGACTCAGATGAAGCTGAGAATCCTGAACCCTTGAGTCATTCTGAGCTTCCTTTGCCAATGGAAGCAGCTTGCCTGTCATGTCTGAGAAGACTCTCTTTCCCTTGCTTAAGGACTCTGTGTTAAGATCACCCAAGGCAGTTGCCTTGCAAGGGATACCTTTTCTCCTCTGGCTTGTGGCCACTAGACTCTCAACTGACATCAGAAGTCTAGGCAGTTGAGTAGGGCACATACAAGATTTGCCCTGGGAAGATTTAGCTTCTATACCAAAAAAAAAAAAAAAAAAAAAAAAGAGGCAAGATTTTGCTACATGACATTGTAGAAACCTGGAGAATATATGCATGAATAGATTCTTAGGGTATTAGACCAAGGAAGGCAGAATAGAATTTAGCATCAAGTCAAATTTATTGATACAAGTGCACTGATCAGAGATTCTGGATTCAATGTGTTAATTTGTGCAGGGGGAAAAGGCTCTACAGTTTACTTAGCTGCTTGAGTGGAATGGGGATTCAAAGGTGACCTGTATTTAAAGATACTGAGATGCCAGAACATCCTTGGTGTGTTGTAGGGGATGGGATAAAAAGGCTTAGGGAGATGTTGGAATCGATTTGTTATAGACAACTCTCACACTCACCTACCCAACCAACCACTACATTCTCCAGGGGGGCCCAGAGGACATTCCCTTCACTATGACATTGGGAAATTCATTAATGAGGGGACCACTACTGTCCTGGAAGACTTGGTGGTGGCTCTCCTCTTTTGGCCACATGTGAAGATAAGAGATGCTACCACTGAGCTGGGCTCCTTAATCCACTGGGAATCATGGGATCCCAGAATAGCAGAGGCCAAGTGGTAGCATCCAACTGCCAAGGGCAGAGCAGGGCACATACATTGTAATCGGCAGTAAGATGGTGAGCATCACTGTGTTTTGACTCACAGGAATCTTGGCATTGGCTAGTTGTCACAGTGTCCCTAGGACTGAAAGAGATGGGCATCCTACTAAAATGCTGTGTGCTCCATGTAACAGGGAAAACTCCACACCTGGTGTCCAGAGCCTGTTTTGAATCACCACAGTGGAGAGCCAGAATTTCTTGTCCCATTTTCAGACCTACTGTTAACCCAGAGCCTCTTCTTTGAAAGGATGGCGGGGTCCCCTTAAAGAAGGACTCTTTACAAATGTATCCTATAAACCATCCTGTAAGCCCCTCCCCAGAGGGACCTCTGACCATTTACGAGAGTGACCCACCATAGCCCACAGTTAAAGTCGGGGCATACAGCGCTCAGGGCCCAAGTTCAGATCACAGAGCACACATCCTGTGGTTACTTCCCCACTTCCTAAATAGAATAGTTGCACTTGGCAACCAGCAAAATCGCAACATCAGCTCTATGACACAAAGTGGAAGCCCCTGGAACTTCCTTTCTGACCAGGAGGGTAAAATATCTGCTGCCAGTTTCCTCACAAATAATTGACAAAGAGTTCATCTTGCCAACGGGAGAATTCACTTTCTTAGAAGGCAGCACAGCCTAGTCTCATAGGAGGAAAGCACTTGCCCCCTTTTACATGCCTTTGGCCCTTTTCCTTTCAAAATAATAATGTGCCATTATTGTGCTAAGAGCATTTGACTGCTTTCTGATCCAGATCAACAAAAAAATTACACAGCAAGTCCTTATTTAACACCGTGGATAGGTTCTTGGAAACAGACATTAAGTGAGACAACGTATAACAAAACCAATTTTATGTAGGCTAATTAATACAGGCAAGAGGTTGAGTTCCTATGGCATATTTCTGGTTATAAAAACATTACCACACTTCTAAATAAAAACCCCAAAGACTTCTAATCATAAACATTAAAATGAATGTGAACATTTAAGAAAGGTTAATAAGAACAAGGTAATTATTTACTCAGGGTAGAACGGCTGAACCGTATCTGAGCAACTCAGTGCCCAAGGCAGGAACAGACCATGACCAACGCAGGGCGCACTCACGCACACCCACAGTCACTCACACTGGGACCGTGCAGACACGCCAGTTCCCCTCACCGGTGCACATCTTCAGGCATCCCACACAGACATCAGGATAATGTGCAAACTTCACACAGACAGTGGTGCTGGCTGGAGGTGGTTTCCTTTTTTCTCATCAATGTTGTAAAAAAAATCACATTGAATGTGACAGCTTTATTCAAGGATCTGCTATAGCTTTTCCCCCCACTTATTCTCAAATTTCTCCCGTATTGGGGAGGGGTACAAGTCTCAGTTCATCTTTCCATGTCACATCCCTGATCTGTAGATTCGCTGATGCATTGACTCATTTGTTCTTCATCCAGCAAGCTCTCAGAAGGCTCACTCTACACCTAGCCTGTGTTGGACACTGGGGAGTAGCTGAGGAAGCCATGCTCTGTGTGCTCAAGAAGGTGGCCCAGGTAGGGTGGTTAGGGAAGCAATTGCAGTGCAATGAATGTTACTATTGAAGAGTATTCAGGGAAAAAGAGAGTCAAGGAGAGCTCCTGGACAAAGCACTTCCTAAATTAAATCTCAGAGAGCCCATAGGTGTTGGCCTGGAAGGATGATAGAGAGGCGGAATCCACATGGAGGGAACAGTGTATGGGAAGGCGTGAGGACCAGAGAGAGAACAGCACAGTAAAGAGCAGGAGCAAGCTCAGCACAGCTGCAGTGCTGTGTGGGGTGTGGAGACATTGGAGGGGAAGCCTGAGAGGTCAGTAAGAGCCAGACCACCAGTCTTTCCCAGCCAGCTGAGAAGCTTGGAAATAGTGCAACCTAGGCTTGGCCACAGTAGAGCAGGCCTGTATTGCTTTCTGACAGATGGACACTTCACAGGTGGAGGGGAAGGGGACAGCACATACCCACCAGGGGCCAGAGGATGAGCCTTTTGGAGAGTCCTTCTGGTTCTCCTTTCCTCTGTCTCACAGGTGGGAATGCAGTGGTGCAATCATAGCTCACTGGAGCCTTGAACTTCAAGACTCAAGCAATCCTCCCACCTTGGCCTCCCAAAGTGTTGGGATTACAGGTGTGAGCCACTGCACCTGGCCCTTCCTGGGGCTTCTATCCAAATGTAAGGTTTGTGCTGGGACCACCCGTAGGAAATTGCCACCTTGTGGGTAATGCGGGAATTACAGACCTAGAAATGACAATGTTCCTTATTTCTCAATTCAATATGTATTTCCTAATAATTACAAGCTGCAGTGCTGGAATAAGGAGCCATCTATCAGGTGGAGAGAACAGAAATGCATACAGAAGTCACTGAATGTTCAGAGGTATGCCTGAAGCAATAGGTTGGTGAGGCAGGACATTGAAAGCTTCAGAGATGACACCTGCACTGAGTTGGGTAAAAAGTGGTCTTTAGGGGCCATATTCACTTTCCATCCTGCAGCACGGGATAGGAAAGGACTCACACAAGGTCACACAGCTCTTCAGGGCAGGGCCGGGGCCAGCACCCAAGTTTCTGGGTATCTCAGCCCCGAGCTCTTTCTTATATATGGTTGGCCTTCAGTTTAAATGGATCCCACTCCTGGTGCTCTAGAAATGGCTTTTGCAGAATCTGATCTTCTGCTCCTGACTATTCCCAGGCCCTGTCATGGTAATTGGTCACAGCCAGCTTTCTGATGCAGTAATCTCTTCCTTTGTGATCTGCATTCTGTCTATGTGAAACTGCAAAACACTAAAACTCTCCCTAGGGTGAATACTGTGCTGCAGCCAGGATCTTGTCCTCCCTGGGAAGAAGAAACAAGGTGTGTCCCAAGAGCATTTATCCTCAGAGACTAGCATAGTCCTTGATATGTAGGTACTTTGTAAATATTTGTGATATGAATGAATGAGTGAAGACAGGAGAGGTGGGTAGGCCTGAGAGGTTAGTCCCAGCTCTCCTGTGGGCTTATCCAGAGTTGAGTCTTCTCTAGAATGGTCTGGAAAGATTAGTTGGGGACAGATTACAAAGGTCATTGAATGCCCAGCTAAAAAGATTGGCTTTCTTCTACTAGCAGAGGGGAAGCAAACCTGTTAGAGAACAGGGAAGGAGCAGGATCAGAATATAGGTTGGTTTCATTCCTTGTCAAAGAGAGAAAAATAGTCCCAAGTCAAAACTCATATCTGTCCCAGAAAGCCATTGATATTACAAAAATATTGGAGACAGGTTTCAATCAATTTAGAAAGTTTATTTTGCCAGGATTAAGGACACACCTGTGACACAGCCTTAGGAGGTACTGACATGTGCCCAAGGTGGTCGGGGCACAGCTTGCTTTTATACACTTTAGGGAGAGATGAGACGTCAATCAATACGTGTAAGAAGTACATTGGTTCTGTCTGGTGTGGTGGGACAACCCGAAGTGGGGGCTTCTAGGTCGTAGGTAGATAAGAGACAAATGATTGCATTCTTTTGAGTCTCTGATTAACCTTTCCCTAAATACACAGTTTATGTGTGAGAGGAAGGTAGAGGAATAGTCACTTATCCCATAGTCTGGCTCAGTGAATCTGCACTTTTACATAAACAATAGGGCAGAGGAAGCAATCAGATGTGCATTTGTCTCGGGTGAACAAAGGATAACTTTGAGTTCTGTCTGTCCTTTGTATAGCATGTGTGAAGATAAGCCATCAATTTACATACCAAGGTGAAATTCGACAGAACTGTTTAGGGTAAAGACCTTGAGGCCCACGAAGAATTTCCTTGTGGGTAAATTATGAGAAAGGTATGTAGCTCTTTTTTTTTTTTAATTGAAACTTTGTAGCTATCTTATTTAGAAATAAAATGGGAAGTAGGTTTGCCTGACTTAGTTTCCAGCTTGACTTTCCCCTTTAGCTTAGTGAGGGTCCAAGATTGATTTTCCATTCACAACTTAATGAAGAAATTGCACTAGGTCTTCTAGATATCTGAGTTCTTTTGTTTCTAATTTCTACTTCTGGTTTGGTTTCTATTTCTAGTTTCTAGTTTCTATTGCTAGTTCTTAATTTAATAATTAAGCCATGTCTCTAGAGAATAACTAGAAGCTGGCCTGTAATAAGCTTACAACACTCAGGAAACAAGCACAACCTTTGTGATACACTGTTGAATTTCCTTCTGTGACATCACCCAGGCTGTGAACCCTACTACATATAGGGCCCCAGTACAGTAACTCTTCCTAACCTGGGTCTGGTGTAGTCCTCACTCTCTGCCAACTGCAGCACCATTGCATAACTCCTGGAAAAAAGTCTGTAGTGGAGTGCTATAGGGCTCTGTTCTATTCAATGTTTTTATTGGTAACCTAGATGAACTCAGAGAGAGTATTCAATTGCCCCCAAAGAAATTAATATACATTGGATAGGAAAAACAATATTCAAAAAGGCTTGTGTAGCTTAGCATGGTGAAGAGAAATCAAATGTTGAAATGTTCTGGAGATACATGTCAAGTTCTCTGTTTGAGTTCAATGCAAAAATAAGAAAGCCCAAGAGAAGCGAAATGAAATCTATCATGCTGGTTTCAAAAGGGTCCAAGTCTGGAGCATGGCAGCCCCTCAGAAGTGAGTCTTTACTACTATAAACCAAATATTCCAGACTTTTGCATTTTAAAACCAATGTCCAGAATTTAAGCATTTTAAAACCAATGTCTTAGCTTTTTTTTCCCCACTTTAAGGTGGCTGCCTTTCCAATGTCCCCAGAACGGTTGGTGACAATTCAATAATGATTCTTCCTTAATGGTATGAAGAGAGGAATTGTAAAATTGTGAGGAAACTTGCCATGATCATCCAAGAATTTAAAATATCCATTTGAAGTCTGGGAAATGGAGCCAGGAAGCACATTGCGGATGGGCACTCCTGGAAGTGATAGCATCTCTGCGTACCTAGAAGGAGAAGAGCTTTGCAATTATTTTCTATGAACCATCTGACAGGGATGTATCAAGAACTGCTTCTTTCAGTGAAGGAGACAGCCTGGTTTCAGAGGAAATACATTTACAGTGTTTCTTTGCTTTTAGACATCCAGCAAAAGAGGTATGTTGTACTCAATCTTTGTATTTCTCTTTCTCTTTTGTTTTTCTTTCATCATTTTCATTTTGAGAATAAGTATGTTTGGAGCCTCCCCTGTATCCCAGACATCATGCTGAATCAGATCTAGCTGTGGCTTCCGAGCCACTCTGGCCTAGAAGGGGGCTGTGACTTTGTGACTGTGTGCCCAATACCTGGCACATAGTCGGCTCCCAATGATAGCTAATGTTCACTGAGTGCTTACTGTCTGTCAGGCACCCTGCTAAGTATTCTATGTCTACTAGCTCATTTCAGCCCCACTGTCCATAAGGTTGGTATAGCTTGTCTTAGATAAAACTGAGGCTCAGAGAGGTGAACAATGAAACTTGCCTGAGGTTACACAGCTGAGAAATGATGGAGTTGGCCCTCAAGTCCACACTTGGAACCACTGCACCTATTTCTCCATAAGTGTGTGTTAAATGAACAAATAAACATATGACATAAAAGGATGTAGGTCAAGCCCAGACAGAAGATTGCATCATGGCAATGAGAAGATACTTCATGGCAGATTCTGCTTGAGGCAGGACTTAATGAACAAGAGCGATGCCGATCAGTAGAGGTGGGAGGAGCCGCTCCAGGCAGGAGTGAAGAGGTCAGGGTTGGCAAACACAAATGGCCTGAGTTTGTCAGTTATGGTGTCTGTTCACTGCCTCCATGACTCTCTCCCACTCCACCATGGCTGATTCGATCTGGGGTGTTATGGACCAAACCGTGTCTGCCTCCCAAATTCCTGTGTTGAAGCCCTAACTCCCAGTACCTTAGAATGTAACTGTATTTGGAGATAGGACATTTATAGAGGTAATTACATCAAAATGAAGCTTTATCCTCAAAATAAAGGATGGACCATGTGGTGCTTGCAAGTCCTCTACATTCTGTGCTGTGTCTGCTATGGTAACACCAGCTGCTAGAACAAATAAGCCCCACTCTTCACCAGCTTATTGCAATAGAACTTTGCTTCTTGCTCATGCACTAGTCTGTGAGAGGACAGCCTGTGTAGAAGACAGTTTTGTCTGCATGGTGATTCATGTACCCAGATGCCTTCCATCCTGTGATTCTATATCCTTTAGAGCCTTAGAGTCCAACCAACAGATGGGGAAGGAGAAGGTGGGAAAGACACGCTTGTTCCTTGGCCATCTTGGCATAGAAGTGACACACATCACTTCGGCTCACACTCCACGGGTGAGACCTAGTCCATGTCTGTCCCTAGATGCCAGGGTGGCTGGGGAGTATGGCCTGGGATGAAAATATCCTTACTTTATGGAAAGGGAGCAGGAACACCTGGTGGACAGCTAGCGGGTCCACCATGTGGTTGGAATTCAGTTCTGAACTTGTCTCCAGCCTCTTCTCCCCACAAATGGGCTGCCTTGTTTCCAGGAGAATCTAGGAGCCAGTGTTCCTAGTGTATTGCCTTAAGGCAGAGTCCTAGTTTATTGCCTGTAATAATTTTTACACCTGACCAAAGGGGCCATGGCTGCTCGGCAAAGCTCCGACAGCTCAGGGGGATGGTGCCCACAGCAGGAGCTTGAAAGGGCCAGCAAGAGCCCAGGAGAGAGGAAATAGGAGTGTAAGTCCTACGTCTGCAGCATGAGAAGGGGAGCTGAATAGTCAGCAGTGTTCTGGAATGAGGAAGCAGGCTGCCTGCTTGCTTTCATTTCTTAGGTAAATATTTGCTAGAAGTTTGCCTTTTCTCTGAGTTTTTCGGTGCTGTGACGAGAACTGGGCAGAACATCAGCTCATCAGAAGCAGTGACATCCAAGAGCCCTGAGAAACCCGAAGAACAATTGAGAGAAGCCTCCTTTGCCAACGCGTTGCCCACCAGGGCTGCACGTGGTACCCCCACTCCCAGATGCTTTCCAAAAACACCAGGTAAGCTTTAAGAGGCAGATCTGAGACAAGTCGTGCTGGATAGCTGCATGTTCCTAGCAACTGCCTTCTGTGATGCTGGTGATTAATGAAAACCGGGAGAAAGGCATGTTTTAGCTAATTCATAGATAAGCTGGCATGGAGGAAATAACATAGATAGGTTACTTGGTCAGTGAATAGATTTCCTTTCATCTTCAGTTCAGAGACAGAGTGGAATGGACAGAGCCCAGATGTGTTGTTAGGGGGCCTGGGTTCAAATCCTGGAGTTTCCTCATCTCTGAATCAGGTGTGATACCCCCTGCCTTACCTAAACCACAGCTTTGTGAAGATCATATGAGAACAAGAATGTGAAAGGATTCGAGATCCATAAAGTCCTGCCCCGGTGGCAGGAATTAAGAATTCTTATTCTAACCTTCAAATGTTTTAGATTCAAGAACTGAAAGCCTACTCCAAAATATAACAAAAAATCCAACCATCACCTTCTGGCGTCACAGTATCTATTTAGAACTGTGGAGGATCAAAGAGGGAAATGAGCCATGAAAACACCAACAAGAATAAGAGTCACTTGGGAAAGGAGATACCCAGAATCCCACCCACGGGAAGAGGGAGGGAGCCTGAGCGCAGTGAATGGAAAAGACCTGAGGCCGGAAACAGACCAGAGGGACGGCTTGTAGGACTGGTGGACAGGGAGCACAGGAGGCAGCCAGAGGTGGGCAAAGACTGAAACTGGAAGGTCTGAGAGCATTATTCCTTTTCCCCCTCTCTCCAGCTGGCCCCTTGGGCTGGGAGAAGGGAAAGGCTAAGAGGACAATTTTTAGGAAGATCCCTCTGGTCACAGGATGGAAAATGGGTAGGAGATAGGAGCCTGGGCAGGAGGCTACTGAGATAGTCCAGACAAAGGGGGCAGTGGCCGAGACGAAGGTGGTGGCTTTCGGGGTGGAGAGATGTGTCTGGATTTGGCAGGGATTGGAGAGGAAGGAGTAGAGGATGACTTTGGGTCCCTGACTTGGATGAATGGGTCTGGGGTAGTGCCATTCCTGAGATGAGGATGCCAGGGGAGGAGCAGGAAGTTGGGGTGTTCATATGGGACATGTTGGACTGGGGTGTTCAGATGGAACATGTTGGACTGGGGTGCCCATGGGACATCCAGAGACAGATAACCAGGAGGCTGACAATTGGCCCTGTGGTCTGGCATTAGAGGGAAAGTCCAGGATGGACCCAGAGAATGTGGCCTACCCTTTGGTGCCAGCTATGCCTCTTGGGCCCTTGACGTTCCTTTGAAGTCAGCACCATGCCCCTGAGAGCTTCTCCCCATCCCTCTCAGGGCCCCCTCTCCATCACGGTCCTCTTCCTGGGTATGGCTCAGCTGGTCAGGGCCCTTCTCACAGGGCAGGACCCAGCCTGAGCATGTAGTTCTGATTGGTCTACCAGTGAGGGGTGGGGAAGGGGTGTCGCTGTCCCCACTAAGGACCCTGGAAACCTTTATCAATGTTTTAATGTCATTGTAGTGCCTGAATATGTTTCCTCTTTGGAAAATATAAGAAGGGTTCAAACTCCAGCTCTGCCAGCATCTAGCTAAATGACTTTGGGCTTTTAGTTAACCTCTAAAGCCTCAGTTTTCTCATCCATGAAGCGTGAATACTAGTACGTGTTACACAGGTTGTGAAGGGTTAAGTGAGACAATAACTATAAGAACCTTATCCAAATGCCCAGCACACAACTCACATTCAACACACAATGGCTATTATTATTGTTACTTTTATTAAGTGAAAAGAAATGAAAATGAATATGACTTTATTAGACAGTTAAGAAAGGAAGGAGGTAGAGAAGAAAAGTTTTTGTCTTCTTCAACAACCAAGTTTTTTGGTGGTAGCATTCTCTGAACTTTTCAGACATGCATGAAAACACCCCCATGCACATTTTCTAAAGCAGGGCACCAGCCAGAGCTGACCATTCCTAGACATACAGCAAGGTCAAAATGAATGGAGAAGTCAAAGCAAAGACAAAGAGAACAGAGATTTGAACATACAGAGAAGAAAGAGAGAGGCTCCGGGATAAAGTGAAATAAAAACAGGGTGTTTATGTGTGGGCTTGATTGCAGAACTTTTCCCTGTTTCTCAGAAGGTCATAGAAAGTGGCAGACACAGAGACAAGCCAACACAGAGAGAGAGAAAGGCAGGGAGCTGCATGTGATGCTCTGAGGGGCTGTCAGAGGCAGGCCTGCAGGGGAAAAGGAGAAACTGGGAAACAACCAGAAAGACAGTCAGCAGGCTTATGTGGGTTTATGGTAGTCATGGACTTCCTCTTATTTTATTTAAAAAATTTAAGCTTTTTATTATGGAAATATACAAACCCATACAAAAGAAAAGAGAATAGTATCATGAACCGCCAGCTTCAACAATTGTCAACACATGGCCAATCTTGTTGCATTGATACTCCCCCATCCCCTCCTCCTCTCCTAGGCAGCCTATTATTTCATCATGAATTTCATTTTGTGTTTTTGTTTGAGACAGAGTCTCACTCTGTCACCCAGGCTGGAGTACAGTGGTGCAATTACAGCTCACTGCAGCCTTGGTCTCCCTGGTCCAGGTGAGCCCTCCACCTCAGCCTCCTGAGTAGCTGGAACCATAGACATGCACCTCTAAGCCCAGCTAAGCTTTTTATTTTTTGTAGAGATGGGGGGTCTCCCTATGTTTCTTTGGTTGGTCTCAAACTCCTGGGCTCAAGCGATCCTCCTCCATCAGCCTCCCAAAGTGCTGGGATTATAGGCTTGAGCCACCATGCCCTGCCTGGATTTCATTTTTGAAAAGAATTCTGCTTTCTCCGTGGAATTCTTAAAGTGGTGTACAAGTGATCTGGTACAGAAGTTTGTTCTCAAACCTCCACAAGCCCCTGCCATTCTCTTGTTTTGATTCTGAGAGAGCCCAGACTGCCCTGGCCATAGGAGCTGAAAATTACATTGAAATCAGAACTTAGCAGTCAGAGAGTTCTTTTATGATCATCCAGATTGTTAGCATTCAATGCCTGGCTCCCCAACTTGCTAGCTGTGTAAGTTGGACAATATTCTGGATCTTTCAGTGCCTCAGTTTCCTCATCTGTGAAATGGAGTGATAATGTACCTTTCCCATAGGGCTGTTGTGAGGATGAAACAAGGTGGTAAACATACTAAATGTTTAAAACAAAGCTTGGCACATAGTAGACCCTTGAGGGATGTTAGCTTTCCATTCACTCGTTTAGGAAACATGAGTGAATGCCAACTGGTGCCAGAGGTATGGGCAGGAGCTGGGCACAGGGAGCTGAATGAGAAGGGCCTCTGCCCTCGAAGAGCTCCCCATTCAGTGGGGGACACAGACCTATGAAAAGTTAGCTCCAAACAGTGGACTGGTGGCTGTGACACTGGGCCATGTCCCAAGCAGTCCATCCTATCCCCTCAATTCAGAAGTGAGCAAACAGAGACCTAGGGGTCCCCTGAGCCTAAGGAGCCACAGTGGTTAGCAGCAGAGCTGGGATGGGCTCAAAGTGGATTTCCCTGACTGGGCCTCTTCACATGAAGGCTTCAAAGGAGGTCGGTGGCCCAGGAGGGCACCTGGCCCATGCTGGGCAAAGGTGCTGGGCTTTGGGTCAGTCTTCCTGCAGTAAGGGAAGGGTAAGATTGGTCATGGGGCCAGGCGTGGGCAGCCATTCTGGTTACTGGTTAACCAGGTGGGGACTGCAATGCACTGCATGGTCAGGGGCCCAAAGGTAGTGGAGTCCTTGGCACTTTCTGCCCTAGCAGAAGGCCAGGGATGCCAGCCTGGCTGAGCACAACCATGTATAGCACTGGACTAGGGCTGGGGGATGGAAGGCAGAGCCTGTGGGGAATGGGAGAGGTTGCCACTGCTTACCAGATGCTCCGGGGACAGAGAAGCAGACAGGGTCCAGGCTCCGAGGAGGTAGAAACGCAACCAGTGACAGTCCCCTTTCAGTTCTGTGAAAGGAAAAACACCTTTCTTTTGTCAGAGTTGTCCAAAAGTGGGGAAAAGACTGAGAATAAGTACAAGTGATCTGATACAGAAGTTTGTTCTCAAACCTCCACAAGCCCCTGCCATTCTCTTGTCTTGATTCTGAGTAGTTGAATAAAACTACTCTTTGGGCACGAGTCCAGGCACTTGATTCTCATTGTATCTCGTCCACACAGAGCCCTGGAAGGGGGACACTGGATCCATTTTCAGGACGAGAAGAGTAAGACCCAAAGAAGGGCATGGCTCGCCCACAGTCACACAGCTGGCGTGTGGTGGAGCTGGGACTCACTCTCATGGTCTTCCTGGCTCCAAAGCCCACACTTTTCCACTGAGCCTGGCTGACTCAGCAAGATGGCAGGGTTGGCCTGGGAGGTACAGGGTTCCTACCCTTGAAAGTGCCCAAATGGAGCTTCAGGGCTGCCCTGTGGGGAGGGAGAGTGGCAGAGAGTACAGAGGCATTCACACTTCCCATGGGTGGATGCTAGTCTGTGATTCCACTACTTGGAGTGGATGAGGGGCCAGGAGGCAGCTCAGCCCAATGCAGGCCAAGTACACACAGTGCAGAGTGTATGTCTTCCTGGCACCCGCCCTTCCTGCATTCTTTCCTTCTTTCCTTCACTCACTCATTCATTCAGCAAGCACGCACTTGGATTTATTATGTACCTTGCCTGAAGTCTAGAAGCTCAGCGTAGGGGTTGGGTAAGGGACAGTTGGAATTCACAGTTGAATAAAACGTGTTTCTAGCTTTTGAAAAGTTCATAACTGGAAAGTGAGAGATGAGACGTGAAAAATAGCATGAAGAAGATTTGAGGAGTGCTAGAGAGGACCCTCAGCCAAGTTCAGTGGGGCTGGGGGAGGAGAAGTGGGAGGGAGGAGGGAATGACTTTGGGTCAGGGAGGAGCGAGGAGGAGGGCCCAGAGAGGCAATAAGATCTGAGCTAAAGTTTCCACATGACCTCATTTGCTGTTTACACATCTGAGCAGGTCGCAGTGTTTAGGATCC